TCTCATCTTTTTAAGTGGGAGAACTTGCACAATTGGTGGCTGACTAAATACTTTTTTGCCCCACTGTAACTGAAGTTTCCAGACCATTTTCAAAGATAAACCCACATACAGTGCACTGCAATAATCCAATGAAGATATTACCAGAGTATGAAAAAGAAGTGCTGTATACTTTTTAACCCAGAATCAGAATCTGACTTTATCTAAGTTAAATGCATTATTCCATGCCTTCCACTCTGGAACAAGAAAAAAGTCTTTTTCTTCTGCATAACGCCCTTCTATAAGACATGTTTTCACATATTTCAAAAGGACTATCATATCCACACTCGGTTATTTTTTTGAAGGCTGAACACACCCAGCTCCTTTCACAATCCCTGATCATCCCTTTTGCCCTTATCTGAATTGTCCTAATTTCTTGAATTCTTGTTAAAACATGCTAGAACTGGACAGAGTACTCAAAGTGGGGTCTGACCAGTACAGAATAAGCTGGAAGCATTATCTCCCATGAATTGGAAATTACACTTCTGTTGATACAGCCTAAAATTGCATTTATATTTTTTGCAGCTATATCACATTGACTCATATTCACTATGCAATCAACACATTTCATTCTGTTATTCTCACCCCAACCTTTATGAAGGTTGTTAGGAACTTTATTCCTGTTTTCAAAAATATTAGCTATAAATCCATTTTTGTCATTTTAAAATTTGATAGCATTCCCTTTACTACTTTAGTGAAGTAATGAATGAAAATACTAAAATAATGGACTCAGGATTCATCTTTGTGACACCCCATTCAATTTCTCCAATTTGATGAGGAACTGTTGAGAAGCCATCTTGAATATGGTGTCAAGCCAACTATTTATCCACTTAATTGTAATGACATCCAGCTCACACCTAAGTAACTTGCTAACCACCATGTGCTGGGTTTTTTTATCAGCTCTTTGCTAACGTAAAGATATACTATGTCTACAGTGTTCCCACAATCTACCAAGGATATTAACCAATCAGAAAATAATGAAAGATAAATCCAGCAAAATTTGTTCTTGACAGATCCATGCTGTATTGTTTTCAGTGTCCTTACAGATCTAAACTAATACCTAATCTTCCTAGGTATTGATGCCAGACTGAGTGGTCTGCTAGATCTTGCTTCTCTACTTTTGAAGATAGGGACATTTTCTCTCCTCTAGTCACTTGGCATTTCACTACTTCTCTAGGATTTGTCTAGGATAATATATTAAGGGTTCAGCCAGCCCATTAACTAGTTCATTAGTTCTCTAGAATGCAATTCATCTGGTCATAGAGGCTTTATTCAAAGTAAGCTGGTATTTCCTATCTTTCTCTCTCTCAGTGTGATGGAATGGAATTATGAAGGCCAGGCTCAGGGAGACAAGCATTTTCTTAGCTCGCCGATGGAGCGTGGGAACTACAAGAGGATGAGACTGGCACCTCCCTGAGGAATTCACTGTTGTAGCTGGCTGACTTGGGA